TATTTTATGGTGGTTTAAAAATAATAGTATGTGACTTCAATATCGTGATTTGAGAAGTAAAGATATATTGTAATTCAGATATAATATTATTCAGAGGGCGTTCTGCTGCGAACATGCTCCCCCCGTTGGAAGATACAAGCTTTCAACCGATGTGGTCTCGGTTGGCAGAACGGCGATTTTGGCAATAGCTCTCTTGACCAGACCATTTTGTGTACGAATGACTGCTACTCTCACAATGCCGTCGTCACCCGTGAAGACGCTGTCGACTCGACCAACCGGCCACCTGAGTGGTGGTGCATTGTCCTGCTTGAGCAGCACGATGCTGCCGGCCTGAAGATTTTGCTTGGACGATCGCCATTTCCCGCGCTCTTGGAGCAACGACAAATACGATGTACTCCATTTCTTCCAAAATGATTGCTGCATGTGACATATTCGCTGCCAACGGCTGAGGCGACCTATGCTTAGGTGAGTTATGTCTGGCTCGTCGATAGTGGCATTGGCTTTGCCCCAGATGAAGTGCCCAGGCGTGAGTATCTCCAAGTCATTCGGGTTTTCTGTAATAGAGCAAAGCGGTCTTGAGTTAAGCATTGCGGATATTTGACAGATGAGAGTTCGGAATTCGTGGAATGAGAGAAGAGAATTTCCAACGACGCGGTAAAAATGATATTTTGCTGACTTGACAGCGGCCTCCCACAATCCTCCAAAATGTGGCGAACGGGGCGGAATGAATTTCCAGTTGATTCCCAGAGCTAGGCAGTTGCGAACAATCTCATTGCGCTGGGGATCGCTTATAAACAGGTCGCGCAGTTCCTTCAGCTCATTTCGAGCACCCACGAAATTTGTGGCGTTGTCTGTCCATATTGTATGCGGTTTCCCTCGAAGGCTGATGAATCTCTTCAAGGCAGCGATAAACGATGACGTGGACAGGTCCTCTACCAACTCTAAATGCGTAGCTTTCGTTGCAAAGCATATAAAAATTGAGATGTAGCATTTCGTTGGTGAGCGATTCCTGACCTCTGATTTGACGTAGAAAGGACCGCAAAAGTCGATGCCAGTTACGTGAAACGTCGGACTTGGCTGCACACGCTCAGCTGGTAGCGGGGCCATGACTTGCTCCATAAGTTTAGGTCGCATTCGAAAGCAGCGCACGCACCTGTTGATGATATTTGAGACAGCCTTGAGACCTCCGATGGGCCAGTATCGCTGGCGGAGTGTTGCTAGAAGGAATTGCGGACCAGCATGAAGAAATTCCAAATGATAATATGTGATCATAGCTGCGGTCACTGGGTGGCGTTTAGGCAACAATAACGGATGCTTTGCTTCATATTCCAAGTTTGAGTTCTGAAGGCGCCCGCCGATGCGCAAGAGTCCCTCAGCGTCCAACAGTGGGCACAATGAACGAAGTTTGCTTTCTGTTGGAAGCGGCATTTTTAAGCTGAGTGCTTTGTACTCTTCGGCGAAGTGCGTAAGTTGAATGTTTTTTATAAGTAAATGCGTTCCGCACTTGATATCATCTGGAGTGAGTGGACCTTTTGAACTCGTCGAATCAGATCTTTTTAACGCTATAAATCGATACACGTATGCGAAAGTGCGCTGTAACTTGGCAAATGTGTTGTTGAATTTACAAGATGCCGATAGGTCCGTCTTCGTTGATAGTACCAGCACTTCCTGGCGTCGTTCTGGAAGCTCAAAGGGATAGGCGACGTTTTGAGGCCAAGTCGAGCTAGCGGCCTGTATAAATGGGGGTCCATTATGCCATAGCTGTGAGTCTAAAAGTTCCAAAGGTGTGCATCCACGTGATAAAATGTCCGCAGGGTTCAGCTGAGAGGGTACATGATGCCAGGTCATGCCCTTGGTCCGCTCCTGTATTTGTGATACCCTGTTGGATACAACGACGTTAAACTTTGAAGGTGATTCACGAATCCATGTTGAGCTACCTACTGTTGAGTCGGTCCAGCAATGATATATGCATTCGAACTGAATGCACTTGGCAATGTTTCCTATGAGCTCTGATAATAAAAGTGCAGCTGCCAGCTCAAGCTTTGGGATTGTCAGCCTGTATAAATGGGGGTCCATTATGCCATAGCTGTGAGCTTATATTAAGCATTTCCAATTTTTTATAATTGAGAAATCAATTATCTTTTCTACAACCTCTCCTATCAAAGATTCTAAGTTCTGACCTTACTATGGTTGTTAAACCTTCTGGAAACTTACTCTTAATGCCAGCAAAAATAGTTGGGAAGGCCAGCTCCTCTGAATCACGATCTTCGAGCATGTCTAAAGGCCGCTGACCCTCCCCAGGAACTATAACTATTCTTTGCATGGCAATATTTTCGACAGGAACGTTTTCTAATAATGTTTCCTGGCCTCCTGGATTAATGTCTTCTTCTATATTATTCTGCTCATCCATGGAGTTTTGAGCAGATCTTGCCACTAATTGCGATACTAAGTCCCTGTCGTTAGCAGATGTAACAAACGGATCTTCGTCAGACGAAAAGGACGACAACCACTGTCCGTTAACAATAATTTGATGCTTTCTGTAAAGCTCGGTGTTGACTTAAAATTGTATTGCATCAGCAACTTTAGAAGGCTTATGGTTTCAGCCATGAAGTCATTGCTTTATTCCATCCTACGTTTGAGATGAATTTGAACTACCTCGCTCTCATTAAACGCCCTCGGAAGGTACGTAACAACATTGGCCACAGGAATGGGTACATTGACCACTGCTTATTTAACTGCATTTTGTCGGCCATATCCCAAAGACTTAATAATCATGAAAGGAAGGCGAGGGTAAGTTAGCGTTTCCTCTATTACTATTATTACTCCTGTACTGGCTAATTCGCTGGGACAAACTTCTTGTGTTACGTGCCTGCTCAATTATCCTATGGATCGGATTCTCTCTAACCTGTGATCTTTGATTCCTATTCCTAGCTCTTTCTAAAAGTCGTCGTTCTCTGTGTTGTCGATGGCGGGCCCGCCGAATGTTGTCTCGTTCTTGTTCGTCTGCCCTATAAACTGGGTCCTGTCGACGTCTCGAATGGTCTTAAGAATTTTGTCTCTGTTCGCTTGCCCGATAGACTGAGTCTTGTCTGCGTCTCGATCAACGCTCAGTATTACCTACTGCTCCTGTTGTATTACACGAAAATAAACTCGACAAGTCGAGTGGTCTTCAGTATTTTGTCTGTGTTCGTTTGCCCGGTAGATTGGGTCTTGTCTACGTCTCGATCGACGCGAAGTATCAGCCAATTGCTCCTGTTGCCTTACTCAAGAATTAGCTCGGCAAGTCGAGTGGTCTTCAGTATTTTGTCGTTGTTCGTTTGCCCGGTAGATTGGGTCTTGTCTACGTCTCGATCGACGTGAAGTATCAGTCAATTGCTCCAGTTGCCTTACTGGAGAATGAGCTCGTCGAGTCGAGTGGTCTTCAGTATTATGTCTCTGTTCGTGTATTCTATATACTGGGTTTTGTCTTCGTCTCGAGTGGTCTTCAGAATTATATATCTGTTCAGTTGCCCTATAAACTGAGTCTTGTCTGCGAACTTGGTTTCGTTGCCTATTTCTATTCCTTTCAATGTTTCTAAAATCATCAGATTCCCTACGCTGTTTTTGAGACTCTATATTATTTATCCTCTCTTGCTCAGCATATTTAGAGATAGACCTATTTAACTGATTTCTAGTTCGTTGTCTCTGAGACCTATTGGAAGCTGATACTCTTTTTGTCCTCGGTATCCTACCTTAATAGTAATAATTGTTTAAATTTTAAAGAAAAACAAAAATTTTAATATTTGTATATAATAATGTACATACATATGTCTGTTCATATTATTTTCTTTCCACAAGTAGTAGAAGACCGCAAAATTGAACTTTTCAGCACTGTTACTATAAATCAGCGAGCGAAATTTAAGAATTTTATTTTATAAATATTTTTTTAATTAAATATCAATATTAACTAGACATATTAATTGAAAGTGTAATAAAGGTTAACTGATATATTAATATATATTATCATTAGATTGATGTTGTTATCCCCTGAACCCATTGAAAATGGGTAAAAAGGGTACAATGTTTTTGTGCAAATGTATGTAACAGGCAGAAGGAAGCATCTCCGACCCCATAAAGTACATATATTCTTGATCAGCATCAGTAGCCGAGTCGATCTAGCCATGTCCGTCTGTCTGTCCGGCCGTCCGTTTGGTAAATAAAAAGAGCTAGAGTCACCAAACTTGGCATGTAGCTTCTAGAATAGTATATATATATCAAGTATCTTTCATTTTATAGCTATCGCCACCTCCCCGCTACCACCATAAAGCTATAAATCATGTTAGTAAACCAACTTGTATTGCCCACGAATTTAAGCCACAATTTAAATGCGATTGTCATTGTGAGAATACACAAATATTTTATAGTATAATAAGATCTTCTACTGAAAATTTCATCAAGATCGGTTAAGAAACATGAAGGAAAGTGTGCTTTGGCCTGCAAACACGTGCAGCAGCAAGCGCAAATTCCAAGAATTTCTGTATACATGTACACACACATATTCATGCGCGTCTGCTTTGAATTCTATCAACAGCATTGCAATTGTGATTGTATTGTTTTCTGCTGCTATTTGAATTTTTTTTTTTATCATTAAGACTTAATTGTTGCTGGGGCTATTGAGTAGAAGGGGCGGAAAGCAGCGTGGTATTTAATAAATTTAGTAGCGCGCGCATTTTCATATGTATATCAAATCGTGGCGGTAGGACAGTAAGTATTTTCCATTCATTCATACTGTTTTAAGGAGATGCTAGTTTTATGTTTTATAAATTTTAATAAAAATCAAAGGAGCCTTTAGACTGCTTGTAATGCGTGATTTACTTCTCGAACTTTCAACAATAACTATCGATAGATTAGTGGTTAGCAATTTACAATGGTATTTTATGGTGGTTTAAAAATAATAGTATGTGACTTCAATATCGTGATTTGAGAAGTAAAGATATATTGTAATTCAGATATAATATTATTCAGAGGGCGTTCTGCTGCGAACATGCTCCCCCCGTTGGAAGATACAAGCTTTCAACCGATGTGGTCTCGGTTGGCAGAACGGCGATTTTGGCAATAGCTCTCTTGACCAGACCATTTTGTGTACGAATGACTGCTACTCTCACAATGCCGTCGTCACCCGTGAAGACGCTGTCGACTCGACCAAGCGGCCACCTGAGTGGTGGTGCATTGTCCTCCTTGAGCAGCACGATGCTGCCGGCCTGAAGATTTTGCTTGGACGATCGCCATTTCCCGCGCTCTTGGAGCAACGACAAATACGATGTACTCCATTTCTTCCAAAATGATTGCTGCATGTGACATATTCGCTGCCAACGGCTGAGGCGACCTATGCTTAGGTGAGTTATGTCTGGCTCGTCGATAGTGGCTTTGGCTTTGCCCCAGATGAAGTGCCCAGGCGTGAGTATCTCCAAGTCATTCGGGTTTTCTGTAATAGAGCAAAGCGGTCTTGAGTTAAGCATTGCGGATATTTGACAGATGAGAGTTCGGAATTCGTGGAATGAGAGAAGAGAATTTCCAACGACGCGGTAAAAATGATATTTTGCTGACTTGACAGCGGCCTCCCACAATCCTCCAAAATGTGGCGAACGGGGCGGAATGAATTTCCAGTTGATTCCCAGAGCTAGGCAGTTGCGAACAATCTCATTGCGCTGGGGATCGCTTATAAACAGGTCGCGCAGTTCCTTCAGCTCATTTCGAGCACCCACGAAATTTGTGGCGTTGTCTGTCCATATTGTATGCGGTTTCCCTCGAAGGCTGATGAATCTCTTCAAGGCAGCGATAAACGATGACGTGGACAGGTCCTCTACCAACTCTAAATGCGTAGCTTTCGTTGCAAAGCATATAAAAATTGAGATGTAGCATTTCGTTGGTGAGCGATTCCTGACCTCTGATTTGACGTAGAAAGGACCGCAAAAGTCGATGCCAGTTACGTGAAACGTCGGACTTGGCTGCACACGCTCAGCTGGTAGCGGGGCCATGACTTGCTCCATAAGTTTAGGTCGCATTCGAAAGCAGCGCACGCTGCTTGAGACCTCCGATGGGCCAGTATCGCTGGCGGAGTGTTGCTAGAAGGAATTGCGGACCAGCATGAAGAAATTCCAAATCATAATATGTGATCATAGCTGCGGTCACTGGGTGGCGTTTAGGCAACAATAACGGATGCTTTGCTTCATATTCCAAGTTTGAGTTCTGAAGGCGCCCGCCGATGCGCAAGAGTCCCTCAGCGTCCAACAGTGGGCACAATGAACGAAGTTTGCTTCTTGTTGGAAGCGGCCTTTTTAAGCTGAGTGCTTTGTACTCTTCGGCGAAGTGCGTAAGTTGAATGTTTTTTATAAGTAAATGCGTTCCGCACTTGATATCATATGGAGTGAGTGGACCTTTTGAACTCGTCGAATCAGATCTTTTTAGCGCTATAAATCGATACACGTATGCGAAAGTGCGCTGTAACTAGGCAAATGTGTTGTTGAATTTACAAGATGCCGATAGGTCCGTCTTCGTTGATAGTACCAGCACTTTCTGGCGTCGTTCTGGAAGCTCAAAGGGATAGGCGACGTTTTGAGGCCAAGTCGAGCTAGCGGCCTGTATAAATGGGGGTCCATTATGCCATAGCTGTGAGTCTAAAAGTTCCAAAGGTGTGCATCCACGTGATAAAATGTCCGCAGGGTTCAGCTGAGAGGGTACATGATGCCAGGTCATGCCCTTGGTCCGCTCCTGTATTTGTGATACCCTGTTGGATACAACGACGTTAAACTTTGAAGGTGATTCACGAATCCATGTTGAGCTACCTACTGTTGAGTCGGTCCAGCAATGATATCTGCATTCGAACTGAATGCACTTGGCAATGTTTCCTATGAGCTCTGATAATAAAAGTGCAGCTGCCAGCTCAAGCTTTGGGATTGTCAGCGTCTTTAATGGGGCGACCCTTGATTTAGAGCATAGCAAATGTGATGAAAATACCCCTTGCATTTCGGATCTGACAAATACGCAAGCACCATAAGCGGCTGTGCTGGCGTCGCAAAATCCATGCAGCTCATACGTAGCCAGCGGCATCAATACAAAACGGGAGAATTTCAAGCTGCAGACAAATGAGAGTTGCGATATGAGTTTGATCCATTCGAAGTGCAGCGACTGCGACAGGCATTCGTCTCAATTGACCCTTTCCTTCCACAGTGCTTGGAGAAATACCTTTAACCTGGTAACGATGGGCGCGATCAATCCAGGGTGTACGTCCTTATGCTTTCATTTTGGTGATCACGCCATAAGATGCATTGCAGAAATTGATCTGGATGCGTTATTCGGACACAGCGGTACATCTTACAGATGTCACCGCACATGGCAACCTTTAAAAAACGAAACTGAATTAGAATGTTGACTAATTTGGGTTGAATTGCTGGGCCTGTATGCAAAAGATCATTCAGAGATGCGCCTGATGTGGATTTGGCTGATCCATCAAAAACGACGAGCAATTTGGTGGTTGAGCTATCTGGCTTTTCTACGCAGTGGTGGGGTAAATAGAATTGTGGGACAAGCTGCTGCTTGGAAGCCAAAGACATGTGGCCCAACTCGATGTATTCGCACATGAATGCAGAGTAGCTCTCCTTCAGCTGGTGATTTTTGTCCAATTTGTTTTCGAGCGACTTGAAACGTCGTAGAGCACGTTGATATGAGTCTCCTAGCGTGTCGAAGCTGAGCTTTGCTGGAAGCCTAACTGAATACTGCCCTGACTTTAGTCGCGTGTAGCCTTGGAGAAATAGCTGCTCACATAGTGCGTCTTCATCAGAGAGCGCAGGGGTTGTACCGCAGCAATTGTCGACTTCCCAGAAACGTTTTACAATATCCGACAGTGGATCCTCCCATGGATTAGGTTCCTTGTAAAGGGCTGAAAGGGATGTGTGTTTGTTGTGTACGCGAGAGAGTCCGCCAGACGCAATCCATCCGAGCTTGGTCTTTTGGAGCGTTGGTAGGTTATCCGCCATTCGAATTTGGCCGATGCAAATGAGATCGAAAAAAGTGCGGCACCAAGTAATTAATCTATTCTTTGAGATTTGAAAAACGATGGATCCGCGAGCGAGATGTTTTTGGGGATATTCCACCCAGAGATGTCTAACCCAAAGTGGGGCTGATAACCCGTTATACTGCGAGTAACGACTGCTGAAAATGATGTGCTGAAGCTCCTATCACGTGACTGCGCTGATATGTCAGTGGACATGTTAGAAGATAGGGTTGATTCGCCTATACCAGATATTGATACGGCAGCATGATGAGTTTTGAGTTGGAGCTGCTTTACTAGACGAGCAGTGATAAAGTTGAGTTGAGATCCAGAATCCAGTAATGCACGGCAGGGTATGAATACACCTGAGTGGCTCTTGGCATATAAGATGGCGGTTGGAAGCACCACATAGTCTACAGGCTGGGCATTCGTGGCTTCGTGGCTTCCTGAGCGGATATTTCCCTACCCGAAATAAACGTATGTCCTATATGATGTAACTTTTGCTTTATAGTTACATTGCCCCTGCTAATCTCACTTACAGCTTCACGCATAGGCTTTGAAATTGCTCTCTGGGACTTGTTGATATAATTAACGACGTAACTGAGGCAAGCATAGGGATCTTATATAAACTGAACATCTATGGCTATTGGCTCGCTGCAGTAGAAGAAGGTGAGTATTAAAAGCGTTTAGCTTAATTTCTGGGAATGATCGCTATAAATATATTTTGGTCTTCTTAATACTCGACCTGACTGCCTTTATATAGCACTCATAACTTAAGCTAAATTGATCGTGGGTAAAAAGGTTATTGAAATTACTAAGGTAATCTATGGTTTCACGATCAAACGGATATTCTAAAACGCCCTGAATCTCTTCGAAATATCTGCGATGCACTCCTTTATTTTCAGCATCGTCTTCTTATGGGAATACAAATTCTGTTTGGGTCATTGGAATACCAAATCTATATATTTTTTGTGCCCTAACTTCTCGGCTACATGAGTGCACGTGATTGTGAGTTTGATACTCCAAAAATGGAGCCACATCCGGGTTATTTGTTTGAGTTGTAATAAACTGATCAATAAAGGACTTCACAGACGGAATGCTTGACTCATCAGCCAAGTCAACCATCGAGGCTTCTTTCAGCCAAAAAACATGACATGAATGTGAGGGAGCCTCTTTGCTGAAACTCAACTCGCCAACTCTGTGACTTCCAAAAACACCGCCTTCCTTTTTCATTCGTATTAAAACCTGCCTATAACGAAAATCAAAATACCTAGCGCAACTAACAGAGTCGGCTCTAATTAAATGGGATTTATTGTCAAAACTTAAATAAGCTGCCAGTTCTTCTGAAATTTCTAAGCTATCTACATTCTTAGAAAGTAAAACTAACAGCTCTGCCCATCTAGTCTCTGCTGCCAATGAGCAGGTGAACTGCGAATACTTTTCAAAACCCTATAGCAATCATCGTGACGTATTAAATTTTCTAAATAATCCTCATTAAGGGCTTGTGCTGTTCCTTATATTAAGCATTTCCAATTTTTTATAATTGAGAAATCAATTATCTTTTCTACAACCTCTCCTATCAAAGATTCTAAGTTCTGACCTTACTATGGTTGTTAAACCTTCTGGAAACTTACTCTTAATGCCAGCAAAAATAGTTGGGAAGGCCAGCTCCTCTGAATCACGATCTTCGAGCATGTCTAAAGGCCGCTGACCCTCCCCAGGAACTATAACTATTCTTTGCATGGCAATATTTTCGACAGGAACGTTTTCTAATAATGTTTCCTGGCCTCCTGGATTAATGTCTTCTTCTATATTATTCTGCTCATCCATGGAGTTTTGAGCAGATCTTGCCACTAATTGCGATACTAAGTCCCTGTCGTTAGCAGATGTAACAAACGGATCTTCGTCAGACGAAAAGGACGACAACCACTGTCCGTTAACAATAATTTGATGCTTTCTGTAAAGCTCGGTGTTGACTTAAAATTGTATTGCATCAGCAACTTTAGAAGGCTTATGGTTTCAGCCATGAAGTCATTGCTTTATTCCATCCTACGTTTGAGATGAATTTGAACTACCTCGCTCTCATTAAACGCCCTCGGAAGGTACGTAACAACATTGGCCACAGGAATGGGTACATTGACCACTGCTTATTTAACTGCATTTTGTCGGCCATATCCCAAAGACTTAATAATCATGAAAGGAAGGCGAGGGTAAGTTAGCGTTTCCTCTATTACTATTATTACTCCTGTACTGGCTAATTCGCTGGGACAAACTTCTTGTGTTACGTGCCTGCTCAATTATCCTATGGATCGGATTCTCTCTAACCTGTGATCTTTGATTCCTATTCCTAGCTCTTTCTAAAAGTCGTCGTTCTCTGTGTTGTCGATGGCGGGCCCGCCGAATGT